GGAAGGAGGCGGAGGCACTCCAAATCAGTGGTTAGAAATAACACTTTTGCCGTGTTGTCAGCTAAGGTGATCCTTATCCCTGAGAGGGAGTAGGCGTGGCACAGGGTGGATTCGGGACAACTGTACTCTTGTTTTATGTTGGACAACGACATGATAACAGCTGCCTCAAAATGAAGATATCTCGCGAAAACCTTGGCCGCCGCCACGTTCAAGTCAACTACGCAGATACGCCTGCACCATTATGAGTATATGTATTGTCTTCTTCACTATGGATGCTGGGGCGTGTCAAGGGGCGGCGCCAGCCTGTTCTCCATCAGTTGTTGAAAAACCGTTGAAGGGGGGGGGGGAGGGGGAACGGGACAACAGCCGCTGAAAATTGGGGTCGACGCCGCGCCAAATCTATCCCCCTGAAGCGCCCAAGCATCGACTACTCAGCGAACGAGAAGCACGCGCGAAACGAGAAACCAGCATCCGCGAAGAACACTTTTGAGGCTGAATAAGACCCCCAGCGATTTGGTGGGTTTCCCGCTACGATATTGTACCCTGCCGCTCGCTGACGCTCTTTGGTGCATGGCTCTCGTTCAAATTATGGTGTGCCAGTTTTCCAGTAAACATGTGACGAGCCCATCAGCGAGTGTAACCAGACTGGTTCATTAGAATGTTTTATATTGTTTTCTTGATGATTTGCATCACCTTTCCTCTCTCGTAGTGTTCCAGTCATCATTCGTCCAAAAATAAAGGATCAAACAACACCATGAGAACGGTTGCTTCAGTATGTTCTGGATTCAGGATACAACAGCATCGTGACGTGTGAAATGGTGGTGTGAATGTGAAATGGTTTATCCTGAAAGAGGGTCTCGGTACGACCCCCCTTCTCAGTACGGCCTCCTTCTCGGTAAGACCCCCACTCGGTGCGAACCCTCCTTCCCCAGGACCTACATAACACTTTCCTACATGTTCCCAGCTTCTTACCATATTTTTTTACGAAATTTCCCGAAAATTTGCCACTTTTTCCCCAAAAATTTTCCATCCAGCGGGGGAGGGGGTGGCGCAACACGGAAACTCCACAAACGACTGTCTCTCGGTGCAGAATGCCTTAGCATGGTATCATTCAACAAGGAAAGTGACCCAGGTGTCGTGACTTTCGTACGACTCTTTTTAAAGGGTCGCGTTATGGGGCGCGCGGCGGTCCTGGCGCGCTTAGCGGCTACGGTCGAACACTCTGGAAGCCGCTAGGGATGCAGAGTCGCGCCGACTCTGGCTTCTCTCTCACTTCGTCGTCTGCCGCCGTATCGACTGGTCGCTCCTTCGCTCGTCTTGTGCCAACTTCACTATCCAACTGCAATGGCAACACTTCAATATCCAGGAGCCGTACTCGACAGCAAGCAGCACTACCTCCGGCCGAAGACATCCCAGGTAACCACTGGAGGAGGAGGAGCACCCGAACCTCTTGGGCAGCCAGAGGTGAGGGTGTGTCCAATGCCCCCAGTGGGCTGTACCCTCGTGGCCCGTAGGCAGTTCTCTGGCAGGGTTCGTTAGTAGGTTAGGGGCCGTACCTTACTTTTAGTAGTTTCCTTTTAGTAGTTTTCCTTTTTATTATTGTTGCTCACAGTTATTCGTAGAGTGGTAAACTTAATAATTACTTGTGTATTGTCGTGTAGCAAGAGTGGTTGAACCACGTCATTTCTCACATATTTATTCATCAAAGAGCTGCAACGGTCGTCACCTTCAGCGCGCATTCTCCCTAAGGCAGCGTTCAGACTTCGCGACGGCAGCGCTTCGGTCGCGCGTTCGACGCGATCGATGCAGTCGAAAGCATGCGCATCGATCGCGCCGAACACGCGACCGAAGCGCTGCCGTCGCGAAGTCTGAATGCTGCCAAAACATTGACCCACGATTCTAATAATTGCTGAAACGCGAGCCCAATTATCCTGATCCGCAAAGTATGAACGCCACCTGAAATGAGAGCTCAAAAACACAAGGAACAACATGAACTACAGACACAAAATTAACGTAACTTCATTTGCAGCAATCAATATAAAACAACAAAAAAATCGGAACCTATACGGAATCTAGGCAGTGTAAAGGCTATAAGTACGTTTTAGTTGTTCTAAATGAGTAACAATTAAGTGACGCTGATTTCTTACTGATTTTTCGCTCTTTTCTTGAGAGCAGCTTGTCGAAGTGACATACTGAAGTTATAGATGATTCTGTCTAATATTGGAGGAGGGGCGAATTGTGAAGCTTCCGACTGTAAATATGAAAAAAACGTAGTTGATAATTTCGGAAAGTGATCGATGTTCGTACTCGTACCTCGATTTGGTGAGATAGACAACCCGTAGTATCATCAGAAAGTCCAATACTTCTGATCGCAGATTTAGCAAACATCTCACCATTAGGTACGAAGAAAGATGTTTTACGAACCTGAACTTTTGAATAAAGAATGCCGAGGAAGAGAATAAAAATCAAGCGGCTCAAAATAATCAAAAATATGCTGAAACAAACATGGACTACCTTGCTCATTTTTGTCGCAACCGTCATAGGACATACTGTCTGGACTATTATACCCTTACTAGCGTATTCCCTTCGGAGGATCTCCGATATCCAGGTCACATACTTCTGAATAACGAAAATTCATCATAATCCATATTATATTCAGAGAATGGAATCAGTAATAGGTGAACTTGCCTTGGAAGACGAATAGACAGCCCAAAATGCCATAGGATTGTAACTGGCGAAGGAAGACACGTTAATAATGATACCTTTTTTGCGTTGTACCATCTGCTTGAGTACGTGAGCGGAAAGCTGAAACGATGGCGCTTATAATAAAACAAAAGAAATACAGCTTATGAGCTCAGAAATAATCTTAATTTTCCAATATTTCTGGCGTGAAAACCCCAGAAAGTGTTCACACTTTGCGATTTGGTCGCTCTTATCAAACAAATCTAGCGATCAGTACCAACTGTGCTCAATCAGAGTGATCAAACCAGGAAGTACAATCGCACTCCTAATAAATCAAAGCAATTCAAGCAACCATAACTTACAAGAGTCACCGGCAATGTGTTAATGATCGCGATACTTCCAATGCGCTCGAGACCTCCTTCAGTTTCGTGAAGATACTAGAAAGTTCTGACTATGAGCAAAGGCTTCCAAGAACGCGTTATTCCTAGAGACTCGCAACACATAGTAAACATAATCACCGTACCTCGGGATATTCGAAGCTCATGCCAACGTTGTTGACAAGGATTCCAACATCGACTTTATCGAGAGCGTCAAGAAGGGGTCTATACGAATCTACGGAACCGATGCAAAAGTCGAACGCAAATGTTTTGACATCAACCTGAACGAGCAGAAATGGCATGACGTCTTTCTTTTTTCGAAAATAGTTAAAAGGCAATTATGCAAATTAAAATATTACCTGATTATGCTTTTGCCTGAGATCTTTTTCCACTTCATCAAGCTTCGACTGCGTTCGAGAAACGAGGTATATGTTAAAGCCCTTCCTGGCTAACTCGAACGCATATGCCTTTCCGATGCCGTCTGTTGAACCCGTCACTACTGCAACCTTCAAGTATTTTCCATGCAACAATGAAGTGAGTTTTTATTGTACAGTCGGCTTCGCTGCGGATGATGGAGAGAACACGCGCGGATGCGTTTGGCTAGTCGCCAAATCCATTCTCCACCACTTGTTTTAGCGAGTAAGCGACAATAACTGGTGAAAACCACTGATGCGAACGATATAACACAGTCTTGTCGCTTGTCAAAAGAAAAAAAAGGGCTGGCGTCGTGCAAAACACAGCGCGGACATGCCTCATCATCCGTGGTGAACCAGAGTATTGGAGTATCCCTTATTTTTCTCCCGCACTAACATAAGTGTGTAGATTCAACTTTCATCCATTGGGGCTAGAAACTTACGCGACGCCAATCCTAACAACATTCGCCGTCTGGGCATCGCATATTTGTGGTTGTGAAGAATCCGCGAACAGGGAAGTAATGTACGAAAAAATATTAGATGGTAATCGACTGGGAAATCATCTTTTCTCCTAATTTGCGAATTCTCCGAATTCACGGATTCGCCAATAGGGAACACAATCCAGATGTGTGAAAGGCATTGCCATGGCGATCCAAAGCACATTGCCGCTTTCTTGTTATTTTTTTCACAAAATCTGACTGTCGAGCGGGCGGGCTGTTGTGCAGTCTTCTGTGCTGTGGATAATGGAGCGTGCCAGGAAGATGGGTTTTGTGCGGCGCCAGCCTGCTCCCTACCAACTACTGAAGCGGGGCAAGCGACAACAACTGGTGGAAGACGGGTTGGCGCCGCGCTAAACCCAACCCCTCCAACACATCCCAGTACTCAATAATGTCCGCTGCCATCGATAGATTTTCTTGTAGATCTTTCACATTCGGAACGGTTGCCCAACTACTCGTTTCTCACTCATTTACTAGGAATCAGCCACCGTATATCCTCACTTGTAAGATTCCCTTTCTACACTGTTTCTTTTCTTTCTTTGTCGATTTCTTCCTGAGATCGACTTCTTAATAATTTAGCCATTTACGCTTTTTAGTTTTCATGGTCCTACTGTTGCAATCATATCTCTTATCGCTGACGCATATTCTTTCTATTCACACCAAAAACCCCAATGAATATCAGCCTAAAAGTTATTAATTCTTTCTGGGTCAAGGTTACAATATTGAGGCTATGCCAGAAGTGAGAAGAGAAATTATCATACTTGGTTCGTGTTGTTACAACGCGTGATTAATTTCAAGTACATC